AAACTGCAGTGGCCATGACATCTATTAAACACAACACTTGACTTGAAATTTTAACAGGGTATTTCATTCCATTCGATAATACACTGGCCTAATTGATATCTAGATTTTTATATGAGAAATTGAGTTAGAATATCGTACTCTAGAGAGCTGAGTGCAGCATTTCCATGTAGATGGCAATTTCTCCCAAACAAAGAAAAGAGAGACACTAATAACAATCTGATTTGACATTCTTCAAGGTGGCATTTTTTCCTTAATAAGAGCTTTCCTTTACTGTTCTGCTGTTTAAAAAAAAGTGAAAAGTAAGATCAGAAGTTGCAATAAAGCTGAGTTTAAGCAACTACCAAAAAAAAAAAAAACCACTCATGAACTAGCTGAAGGCCTAACAAATCCAGCATTTTTATTTGGTTTGAACTGATATAAATGTTTTGAAAGTTCCCAGGATACAATTGTGGAGTTCTTAAACAGATATTAAAACTGTTTCTGATTCAGTAACCACTGATACATTTTATCTCTATGAATTTTCCCAATCCCATTTAAAGCCATCCAAAGTTCCAAGCATTTCAAGGAAATCCCATAGTTTAACTTTGCACTTGATAAGAGAACTTAATTCTTTTGTCTTTCCTGGGTCTTCCCATTTGAGATGATGCCAATAAATGCATTTACCGCAACTCCTAACTTCTCCTCAACTCCTCAACATTTGGACTTATTTTCCTATTTTAGGAGATTTTGAGGGTCAAGATCTAGCCCATCCCTTGAAGCCTCGCAAATCCTTCCAAAAGATAAAAAGTTCAGCCCTTCCCATTACAGTGATGTCAGGACATCACCAATCACACTCTCTGCAAGGAAGGTCCCCACATTGTCTTGCCAGCACATAGGATACATAGTACGATTGTGTAATAATTCAAAAATAGTTCAGAATTAGGTGCTTCAGAGACTGAACTCAGCACTCTCTGCAATTCTTGCAGGCAGCTGCATCTGTTCCTGGGAGCTTACATCTGCTCTGACATGATTGCAGGAATACCCAGGATTCAATCATGTTTTCCCCTTAAAATCTAGAGCACTGCATAGCCCAAGTGAAAATGACATTTTATTTCAAGGATGTCACTGTAAGTTTGACATGATGAAACAATGAACAAACAAAATGGACAAATAAGATTAATAACAATGAATACAAATGGGGTTGAACAAGAAAGGGGGGCTTTTTAATGGAACCATCAATTTTAGATTATTGTCTGCAACCACATATCTCTTTTCCCCTTGTCCATCTAGAATAATCTCCTTTCCATCCTGGTGCTTTCCCACTTATCTTTCCTAAACGGAATGACTATTAAGAAATCAGAGGAACATGGTGCAAAGATTAGTAGTCAATTTCAGTTACTTTTTGAGTGTGTAATTTTTTTCAACCTCATTCAGTGTGCTATTCTCAAAATGAATATCAAATTAAGTGCAACTGTATGTTGTACATCAGTATATGCCTTTTTGCCTTATATAGAAGGCTACAGAACATCATTTAAATCACAACCAGTAATTCCAGTACACAACAGTGTGTCATTCATCCATTATGTATCAGCTAATTGATCTTTATTACAGCCTTAGAGCCAGAAAATGTTGATCCCAAAACACATTTTGTATGTTTGTATTCACATGTACTCACATCTCAAAAGTCAACCCCCCCCCCCCAAAAAATGAAGTGCAATTCAGGCAGGTGGAAACATTTATTTGTACTATAAATTTCAACAAGGATACTAATTCCCTGCTAAAATCTGTCCCTCTGAAGTCAGCACAGTCTGAAGCTATTTTATATTACTTTAAGGATATAATACATGTAATATTATGGGCTTCTAAAGGGTGGAGCATTCAGTTACAAATGGGACTACAGATGCAGTTACTAACCATATTAAGATAAGCTGTAATCATAAACCAACAAAACATGACCTTTATTTATATTACAGGACCAGAAAAGGCATTATGTTCAGATTATGGTATCTTTTATCAGAATAATATTATTATTGCCCAACCATTACGGTCATCACCAGCCACTGTTCACCACAAAAGAAAATCTGAGATAATTTCAGTATCCTGCATATCTCTATAGATGGGATAATACCAGGGAACAACATCAGCTGAAATTCAGACTGCAGGGTATTGCCAGGACTAAATTATATATTAGGGCACATAGCATGGTATGATAATCCCCATATTAGCCATAATATATTAATTAGTTTCAGTAGTTACACATATAAACACATTTCAGTTTTCATAGATTATTCCTCCACTTTACACTTGTCTATATTGTGATTTTTTGAAATGAACAGAACTGCAGGAACATCTTTCTCCTCCTCTGATATTTGAACTGTGGCAAAAACAAGTACAAAATAACTTTCCCAAGATCTTTGAAATTATACTTGGAAAAAGTGGTATTTTAACGTATCTTGCATTATACAAAGGCAATAAATACAAAGCTTTGAGCTGAAGTAGATGAATGGAGCCCAATAAAATCTCATAATTGCTTTAGCGGAAAGTGGGAGAGGAACAGGAAATGTATTAAAATACTTACTTTGACGAATCTATGAAGTATATTACAAGAGCACCAATACTAAGAGCAAAGACTAAAACAACCTGCAAAAGTAAAAAAAAAATGCAATCACTTTCCATTGTAGAGTCAAAGCATTTATCATTCAAACAAGCAAAGGAACAGGCAGAGACATGAAATTTGGTAGTGCCATTTTAATGGTCTTCTGCTTCACAGGAGCGAACACTGCACGCAAGGCTTGACAGAGCTAAGAATATGTTTAAAAGATATGCAGCCTGACATATCCCAAAGCATGCCAGTGCACGAGACAGAAAATACAAGTTATGCCCAGTGCTGCTAATATAATAATAAACCTGATAATTGGCCATTTGCTGGCCTGTAATATTGTTGCAAATCCACCAGTTAAGGTAGTTTGCCTCCCCCTGTATGATCAATATTAATCACATTAATTAGATACAGACACCTCTCATGAGAACATTCATAAGTTTCCAGAGAGCATTGCTAGGAAATCGGAGATTGTGATATTGGAGGGACGTACTCTCTGTGATAGCCTTATATGTATACATTTTCCACAAATACCTCCCAAAGCCCCTCACTATTCAAAGCTAGGCATTTTTGTGAACATTTTTATTACATTAGCCACTGGACAGAGCGTGGTAGAATTGGGTGGGTTAGAGATAACAGCCTCATGAGGTCAGTATCCAAAAGGAAAGATTTTATCTCTGGATAATCTTCTCAGTGATTCTTTATGATATTCCAGGTTTTCTTTTAAGCTAAGTAATTTATTCTAATACCACAGCAGTCTTAATCATGCAGAGCAATTTTGTCCTGAAAATAAAATGGGCAGAAATAAACTATTTCTACTTTTTAAAAATAGTTCTGACTCCCTAGAGAGAGAAACTGACAGTTGCAGGTTGATTGTTGTTTGAGATGTTTCTTTTTTATCTAGAACATCAAGAGAAATTTTTATAATGATGCATTCATTGTAAATATAGTTATTCTTCCTGACTGATTTTATTAAAAAAGAAGCCCAAGTATTATCAACCTTAATACCTCTGTATCCACTCTAGATAAGTACAAAAAGCACACTAATTCTATCCATTCCAGAAAACATTGTAGGTAAATCTATAGAAACTGATTTGTTTTAAAATATTGGTGATAATATAAGGATATAAGAAACATACTTCAAAAGCATTACATAGAGCTTTACAATAATTAACACACCATAAGCAGAGCGCCTCTGTTATTTGTACAAGTGAGTTAAGAGAAGCATGGGTTGTTAATGCAACATACTTGTAAGAAGCAGAATAATCCTTTGCTAAGGCCTAACTGGGTTTACACATATCTAAGCTTGTATGGGTAGAAGTGGGGGTGGGGTGAAATGATATACTAATGAGTAACCAGTAACAGATCATTAAGACCCCGATTTCAAATGATGGGAAAGAAAATTCAGTCTGTTAGATCAAAATAAGAATAACCTTTCTGAAAAGGTTACCGATAGATAGATAGATAGATAGATAGATAGATAGATAGATAGATAGATAGATAGATAGATAGATAGATAGATGATCATCAAAAGTATCTCATGAAGAATTTGGTTTATAAGCCCATAGGCGTAACTGGTAGAAAACCTGCTTTTTGGAAAGGGCTCAAAGAAATAAAGCAAAGCTTTAGTGCCAATCCCCTATTTCTCAGAATAAATATTTTAGGAAGAAATAGGATTGAAAAAAGATCAAACAGTGTTGCTTGTAGAAAGTGGATGCAATGGGCTGTTTTTCAGGCATCTCTTTATGGCCCATTTAACTCAAAGACATCAGAATGAAAGTTGACAGCTGAACACATCTCTTCCACCCATTTCCTGCTACCTTCCTATGACTAAGAAGAACAAACAGTCTGAATGGATGAAAATCAATTATTATACAAACAAACTTACTCTCATTCCATTCATTTTTGGGTTAAGCAATGTCATGTAGAGTCAGAAAGGAGTAAGAAATAGCATGGCAAACCAATTAAAGGCATGGGATAAGAAAAAGAAGGGAAAAAAGCTAGTTTATCCAACCCCATCCAGTACATCTCTCCATACTTTTCTATCCTTGCTTCCATCCACTGCTTAGGCATTGCTTTCGGTCATCTAAATTTCTGACTTTCTTTCTTTCTAGAATCTCATCAACTCCATCCAGCCATGACTTTCTCTTGACCCATTCGCTCTTCCTTCATGCATTTGTTTTGCAATCTGTATGTGAAAAAGAACATCTCAAAGTACTTAGTATACTCACTTTTGTTTACTAGCCACATTTGTTCCAGATGCATTCATTCATGGCCCTGCCTGTTCCAGTTTTACAACATACTCTTCTAAGGATCCCATTCCTGCTGCATTCAACTTACTTTTATCTTTCTCCTGACATACCAACTCTCACTGCCAACACAAAGTGGGCCAACACATGCTCTTATAGCTATGTTCGCCTCTTTCATCAAAAATTCATTCCTCACAATAGACTTCATACTACCCACTACCTTTTTACCAACATTTGTGTATCTTAAAAACTACCTGTCCATTCTCTCATTCTCAGTAAACATTCTACCGAAGTGTAGAAATCAAAACCTCTGGTCTTCTGCCATTTATGTATAACTTGCAATCATTTCTTCCAGTTTTCCTATCAAAAGCAATGACCTTAGTCTTTAATATATTAATTTTCAGATCCACTCCTTGTAGCATCATACAGTCTAACACTTGCTGCAAATAAATGGAGTTCTCAACAAAAACATAACATCACCTCCATACAAATATACATATACAATCACATCCTCAATTAACACATTTCTAATGCCGCCATACACATTATTTATATATTTATCCCTCAATACATTACACATTTAAGGAGATAACACTTGATTCTTAACTCTCTCCTATGTGTGGAACCATTCATGAAGTATTCTGTCTAATCTTACAATGGCTTGCTTTCCATCATTTATCACTATTCTCACATTTAGCAACCTAACTACATAACTGTGCAAAATTCTTCATAAAATACAGTTTGTGTTGGTTGAAAATTGTGAATTTTTACAACAAACTATAGTTTGACAAATTCCTTTAACACTTGAATTCTATGAACTCTATGCCACCACCTCGGCCATTCTTAGGAGTGGCTAACTTTTCAAACAGTTAGAAACACTCTATGGGGATCAAAATTTCTACTTTACATACTAAATCTATTAATTGATTTGATATGATTGGTTAGATAAAACAGCTACTTGAGATAATTATTCTGATATATATATTTTCTCTTGTTTAATTAATCAGACTCCCTGTACTACTTTTTCTTTTACGTTATTCTAGTTTTTGTTTCTGTATTTAAGATTTTGCTAATTGGGTGTCTTGTGATTGGCTATACCCCTGTGGCAACCATTTTGAGACAGTAACTATAATATGGTTTGAAAAAAACCCCCAATATTTCACCTGATAAACACATTGAAGAACTCTGCATACCAAGAAATAAAAGAAAGTTTTTTTCCCCCCTCAAACTGTAAATGAAGTTCATTCAATCAGTCAGTCAACCAAGGACAGTCTAGATGGTAACATGTAACTAGTAAAGAAGGCCCCCAACAGAGAAATCTACTCAATAAATCCCTTTCAGGAGTGGGGGAATAAATAATCACAATCTTATCTCTTTCAATCATTTTCTTTTGCATTCCAATTTGGGACTGAATGTAGGGTTCCCCTTTATAATTGCATAAAATGGAAAATGGAAATGAAAGGAAGCAGTCTCTGTGTATGAATAGAGTTTAGCATCAGCAATGGCTGATGGAAGAAAAAAAGAAGGGAGATCTGCTTCTCTCCAGCAAAACACAGTCAGCTCTCTTTTTCAGTCCAGTAATGACTGTTAGCATGGCAGTGACCTCCAGAGAGTTTTGCAAGTGGCATTATTGTGTATTGGTATCTAGGGCAATATATAAAATCTGCCTTGCAATAAAGATGAGATAAATCAGATAAACAAAAGTAACTGTTGTTCTTGTTCTTTTTTCTTTTCTTTTTTTGTGTGTGAATGTGTGACTTCGAGTCAACCTTGACTCCTAGCCACCATCTGGACAAGTCCCTGCAGTTTTCTTGGCAAGAATTTTTCTGAAGTGCCTTCTTCTCTCATTCTCAGTAAACATTCTGCCAAAATGTAGAAATTAATCTACGTCCTCTGGTTTTCTGCCATTTATGTATAACTAGCAATCATTTATTCCAGTTTATTCCACTTTATTCCTTGACTTCTTCCTGGGGCTGAAAGGAAGTGAGGTCCAAAGGTCCAAAGACATCCAGCTGGTTTTGCCCTAAGGTGGTCTAAGGTGGTTTGTGCCTAAGCTGGTTAAGTCCAAAGCCATCCAAACAAATATTAAGAAGAGACAGTGACATATTAGTGGATAGCCTTCAATGAGAGGCCAAGTAGGAATTGTATATAATGGTCAACTTTAGTCCTTTTGAGCCAAGAAGGAACCTGTCTCTTGACAGGTGTACAGGGGAGGCTGAGGAAACCACATAACCCTGCAAAAAGCATTTTATCTCCATGTGTGATCTCTATTTCTCTGCTCCCATGTTTCTAGTCCTCCCAACTTTCATCTGGTGTTGCCTCTATGCCTTTGGAATCTCTCGGGTTAAGTTTTTCCATTGCAATTCTTGGTAGCAAGCTGTCAGGCCCAGCTCAAGAACAACGATGAAACAACCCAGTCAAGTACAGTTCCTTTATTTGCTTATACCTTTTAGACAGAATCTTGCCAAACTAAATCTATACTACTACAAGAAGTGGATATACTCTGGGAGATTCTAGGGAGTGGCTGTCCTGAATCTTTTACTCTTCTCACGCTCCCCCTGCAGACTGTGTTGCCTCTTATCTCCTTTCCCCTCCTGGAACACCCCCCCCCCACCTGATAGCCTGAATCTCCCACATCACTCTCCTCCTCGTAGATACATTCCATCACACAAGCCCTTAATTTTACTTTCCAAATAAATGTCCTTAAAGGATTGTGGCCAATAAATGTTGGAATAATTTGTCATCTTATTGCAAGAAGGGTCAAGAAATAAAACACAAAGTTTTGGGGGAAAGAACCACAAAGAAGTTCAAGTTCTGTCACTCAAGTTTTTATCATAGCATATCTGAAGGCAGGAAAAACATTTTTTGGGAAACACTGGAACTCTGTTGAAGTAGAGGAAAGTTTGGTAGACTTCGTATTATTTTTCTTTCATATAAGAAATAAGAAATAAAAACTTTGTTCCGGAACTTCTAGAATCACCGTATCAGCTGAGTTGGTGTGATTTATGAAGACACTCATAAAATCCAAATAGACACCAGATTTAGCTGTCTTCATATGCAGATCTGTATCCTCATTAGATCCTTTTCATTCCAGTTTTATCCCCCACTTGAATAATGTTTTAGTAATCATTTTAATGGGGCAGCCTGTTCTTAGAAAATCTGGAGCAGCTTTTCTATCCAAAGGAAACTGCCAAGTAAAATAGAAGACTAGGCATTCAGTCTAGCAGAAAGTGTTTTGTCTTTGGCTGATTGTGATGAATTCCAGCAGGCCAAATGCTGAGATCAATTCAGCCGATATTTAATACTATCTATGACTGGTAGCACATTCAAGCTTTGGCACTGAGAAAGGAGAGCAGTTTGAGGGAGGAAGCCACATGGTGAGCTACCAAGAAGACGACAAAGACTACCCTATCCAAAATTGAGAGGAAGAGTTGTGGAAGGGGAGGAGCTCCTGATAAAGAAATAAAAGAGATGGAAATCCCCCCTTCTGTCAGAAGCTGGGGGTAGAAATAACTTTGAAGGGGGCACCTCTCTGGCTTCAGGTGAGGAAAAAAATGCAAATCTTCCCTGAGACCCTCAGGTCAGGCAGAGAGTGGGATAAAGAGGTCTGAAAGGAGAGTGGGAGATTTTGTCAGCTCCGAACAAGGAAATGGAAATGGAAAGAGGGAGAGATGCAGATTTGCAGAGGGAGGGGAAGGAGAAAATAGGGAAGGAGCTAATATAATGGATTGAAACTGATGAAGCAGGACACTGCCATTCTCAGAAGGAAGAGAGAGAACCTCTTCACAAATACAGAGTAGTTTCTCAGTATTTTTCTCAAGGCTCAGAAGAGAGAAGCCAAACTTCTCTTGATATAGGGTTTTAGTCTTCTGTGCTGTAGTAGGAAGACCTTATGGGTGTATATGACTACTATCCCATCTGCAGTAAAACAATGTATCTGGCTGTGTCATGTCTGCGAAGCGTCTGCTGAAAACAAGTTTGGGAACGCAGGCCCAAATGAGAAGAGAATCTCCATGCATGCCAGGCCTGGTGTGAAATCTGAAACAGCGTGTATTTAAATCACCCGGATCCTATATATGCTTCTTAAAAGTCCTTTGAATTTGTTATATCTCATCCACAAGGTTGATGGATGCAACAGTCAGGGAAGACTTTGATTTTTTAAAATTGTCTTACCGTCTCAATTATAGGAGCTGGCAACTAATAAAACAGCTAGCCAAATTAAGGTAGTGACATCTGCTGTATTCTAAAATCCATTTATTATAACAGCATGACCTAAGGACTAAATTAGCTTAGAGAAAGACTTGTATTACACCTGATATAAACATTCTGGATTAAGGTTTTTAAGTAGTTCATCCTCCAGGTTTATCCTCCACCGCCAAAGCTGTGTGCAGGGGAGGGTCAAAAGAAGGTTTTAAGAAACTTGTCACTTTTAAACCCTAGCCAACCAATATTTCCAACAGTTTCGACGCTTTCAGAAAATGATGAGGATAGTTTGATCAATCAAATAAGGTGATTAAGCCTATTTTTCATCATGCATTTATTTCTGGGCTCTAGTTTTCTTATTCCAAGAAGCAACAGCTGTGCTGAAATCCATTATGACTGAGAACCAAAAATATATGACTACAGGATCAGTCAGTAGAGAAGACGGCTTCTC